AATTAAAAGTGCATAGAGAGAGTAATAAATAGGTAATTAAATTTCAAGAAGTTTAAAATAAAAGGTTGAAAAAAAGAATTAGATAGACAACATATATTGAAAATTGAAAACATATAAATAATAAATGGGCCCAAATTAGGTCAAACTTTTGGGCTAATAAAGTAGTAGGTAATTAATGGTGTTAAATTGTCCAATAATATAAATTTTAAAGCTACAACCATAAAAGAAGAATGTACAACACTATCTAAGCTCATATCATCCAACACTTGTCATGTGCTAAGTAGTAGAGATTCCCACTTATTATATATAGTAATATAGAGCACTAATAGTCTTTTTTATTTATCAAAGTAGTGTATTTTTAGTATGCCCACTAACTAACAATTAACTTTTAACGGAAAAAATAGCTTCTTCTTTTTTATTATCTTTTATCCTTGTAGCATTTCCAACTCACAATTTAACTAAACATAATTCTCCAAGATTATTTTTCCAATTTACACGCACATATTCACATAATTGTCCATTTGGCTATAAATACCAGGAACCACTTGAAATATTATAAACAACTTGTATAGCCTAAAGATAGCTTTGTTCTTAAAAGATAAACAATTCTACTTCCTCTAATTATTTTTATTTTTTTAATTATACTAAAAATAAATATTCACTTTTACTCGTTTATTTTGAAAAATTAAGAGATAATTTTCCATTTCATATTCTTATTATTAAGTACTATTCATTTCTCGGTGAATGGGATGACTTACCAATTAAGGATGATGTAATAAATTAAAATTTTATCCATTATATATTTAGATGTATGTCAAGTCAAATATAAATAAGTAAACATGAACGGAGGGAGTAATTAGCTACCATGGAATTACTCCTTTTTTAGATGGGCTTTTGTATCTCAGCTTTGGTTGCAAATACTAACAATAATTTACTTGTTTCTTTATCCAGTTTTCATGGCAATAAAGTTCTACAGAACATATCAAGCAAAGGGAAATCAACTTAAAAGGAAATTCGAATTATAGTCATGGTGACGATTATGTGATCATAACAACAAAAGAGAAAAGAAATTTATTAGCGAAAATTTATTGTGTTTTTTCCTATCTTTTCTTAGCTATGACTCTCAGCAAATCTACAAGAAAAATAGTTAAATCTATTTTTTTGAACTATGCAAATAATGATCTTCATTTTTTTAATTGTGAAATTGTTGTTGCAATATTAGGGGAAAGGGATTGTTAAAAGTTCACGGTCAGTTAGTAAAGTGACCAAATGTGCACCAACTTAATAAATAAGAGGGACTATTTGTGCTCCAAGTGAAATATTAAGGATGATTTTAAATCTAAGCATAATTAACACCTTTTTATAGTATCCTTTGTTGGCTATAAATAGAGAGGTTTTCTCTCATTTTTCTGAATCAAAATTTTCTTTCTTTTGCATTCATTTTCTTACCAACAAAATAGAGTATGTGTGTGATCTTGTTGCAAACTTTTGAATTCATCGAAGTTATTGAAGTTTGAGGTACCACTACTTCTTTGATAGTTTATCTATATTATCTTGGGAGGAAACAATCTGTGACCTCGAGTACATTGAGGGGATTAAATTGACACACTTTGGGTTATGTGGACTCGGATAGTTTTATTTCTTTTCATCTTAATTGTTTCTGGTTTACTATTCTGAATATCTAGGAGTTAACAAGGTGTTTTTGGTTTAATTGCAATAATATTTCTACGGAAGAAAACAAGGTGTTCTTTTTCTCATCTTCTCTCACATTGAGTTATTATTTCTACTACATATATAAAATAAAAAAAAATAAAAAATTGAACATTTCATATATAAAAATGTGGACAAAATCAATATTAGAAAATTTAAAGAAATTTGAGAAAGGACCAAAAGTGCACCATTGTTACAAATGAGAGACTATTAGTGCTCCGTGTTAAAACTCAAGGATTATTTCATATTTAGGACTCCAACTCTACTTTAGGACCCGTTGAGTGATAGATATTCCCAAAAAAAAAATTTGGGAAAAAACTTGACGAATCACCGGTAACTCTTACAACATGTTATGCCTTCAACCACCTTTGAAAATTGTGCCTTTGATAAAAAACCACACTTTCCAACTTTCAGCAATGCTTTTATGGGATGGCCAAAATCAGTGTAACATTTGTGATTTGACCTAAGGCCACGCTTTTCAAATGTAGTCTTACAAGCCACACTCAAAAGCATGACTTAATGATATCAAAGACCACGCTTGTTACAACCCATATAACAACACTTATACGTCCTGGAGCTATACTTTGAAAGTGTGACCTTTGTTTCTTTATTGGCCACACTTATAAAGCGTAGCCTTTGCGGCTTTGCCTATATGCCTGCCATATGTTGTGTTTTAGTAAGGTGTGAATGGGAAATAAGAAGAGAAAATGGAAAATGTGGGGAAATCAATTTGGAGGGAAAATGAAAAGTCATTCTTTGAAGATGAAAAGGAATTTGTTCCTTTCGAAAAGACGTTATTTTTCCCAAAAAGACACAACGTTCTAGAAAGACATGTCTGAACAGACGCGTTCCTTGCTGCAAATGGCTATAAATAAAGAGTCTTTTTCCGGTTTTGAACATTGAAATTTGTTTTCCTCTCTGCATACATTTTCTTACAAAAACAAAATTATCGATCGACTGAGTCTGTATGTTCTCTTGTTGTTGTTCTTGCATTCGCTGAAATTAGTGAAGTTTGAGGTACCACTACTTCTTTAATAGTTAATACGTTTTTTTCTTGGAGGAATTAATCTGTAACCTCGGGTACTTGAGGGGATTAAATTTCTTAAGGAAACACAGTGGGTTCTGTGGACTTGGATTTTATTTTTCTGTCTGTCTGTTTCAACTTTTTTTTGTTTCTATTTTTTGACTAACCTGAATATAGGAGATAACAATCTTAAGAAATTTAATAGTTTTTGTATTTGAGATTTCTGGAGATTAAAACCTATATGGTTTTCTACTCTGTTTAAGTTTTTAAAATTCATTCGATTAACTATTAAAAAAACATAAAAACTTTATCGTTGAATCAGAAACAGGCTGTGTAAGGATTTATTTTTTACTGTTAGTATTTCACATACTAAAATTGTCTGCCATTTATGGCAGAAAAATGATAAATTCAAGTCAAGTAAATGTTGGAACAGTGAGTGTTGTAACAACATCAGTTGCACACAATCGTTCAACTGTTGCCCTTGCACCGACTGAGAAATCTGCAAAGTTTTCTGGAGTCGACTTCAAGAGATGGCAGCAGAAGATGTTCTTCTATCTGACTATGTTGAGTTTGCAGAGGTTCTTTAATGAGAAC